CTTTTAGAAGGTACCATGTTCTAATGAGAAGGCCCAGCCCTTGGTGGGTGAGGCACAGAAATGATCAGAGTCATGCATTACTTAGTTAATTTATTTCGAATCTAATATACAGACAATAAAAGCACCTGGTCTTCTGGCATACTAACACAGTGCTATGTCTGCATCGGGCCAACTTCTATATCAGTATTGATAGTTCAGTCACGTCAGAACTATTGAGATGACTGAATCTGGGCCTGGTATCCAGACCATTGTCCTTTATCTTGCCATAGATAGGAAAGCTATATGGTGAGAGAGCAGGGAGTAGAAGAAAGAACATGTAATTTTTGGAAGCAGACACTCCTAGTTTGGGATCCTGCCTCAGTCATTCTGTTATTTTATAATATTGGGGAAGTTACTAGTATCTCTAGTTTCTAGTTTTCACCTCTGTAAGATGGGAATCATACTGTCTTATTGGGCTAGTTGAGATGATAAAAGGTTATTGTGAAGTCTATGTGTGTGAGTGAAGGTAAAGTGCACAGTGATGTATGGTGCACAAGGTGGTACACCTGCCAGGTAGTACAAATGTTAATTCTCTTTCCAACTAAAGGAAATCCACAAATAGGGACAAATGGTTAAGATACAAATCTTGAGTTTTCTCTGATTTTTTCAGATTACTTGAAATTTCAAATAGAAATGCAATTAGTTTTTACACAATATTATAAACTCTGTGGGGTTTTTGTTTGTTTTGTTTTTACTACAAGATTTCATATTTTAGGATTGTGATCATAGGCAAGTCATTAAACTTCCCAGTTTTCTCATTTGGATAATGATATTAGTAAGACATTACTGACACTTAAAGTAAATGTTTTATAATGCAGTTAAAATGAAGGTAGGGTAAATCTTGGAGCTCTTGTGAGGAAACTCCTAAGCCCTGTAACTGACATGCAGCTAACCATGAATTAATGGGCATTCTTACAATTATCAGTGTAATTGTCTCGGTTTTTTATTTCATTTGGTTGACTCATTGATTATTGTTGTTAGATGACTTTGAATCAGTTCTGATTCATGGCAGCTGCATCTACAGAGCAAAACACTCCCCGGTCCTGAGCCATTCTTACAATTGTTGCTTTGTTTAAGCCCATTATTGCAGCCTTTGAGCTATTCCATCTCATTGAGGGCCTTCTTTTTCTCTGACTTTATCAACCATGATGTCCTTTCCTAGCGAGTGGTCCCTTATGATGACATCTCCAACGTATGTGAGACAAAGTCTTGCCATCCTTGCTTCTAAACAGCATTCAGATTGTACTTCTTCCAAGACAGATTTGTTCATCCATCTGACAGTTCATGGTATATTTTAATATTCTTCATCAACACCATAATTCAAAGGCATCAGTTCTTCGTCAGTCTTCTTTATTTCATTGTCCAGCTGTTGCACACATGTGAGGAGATGGAAAATACCATGACTTGGCTCAGGTGCACCTTAGTCTTCAAAGTGACATCTTTGCTTTTTAACACTTTAAAGAGGCCATTTGCAGCAGATTTGCCCATGCAATATGCTGTTTGGTTCCCTGACTGTTGTTTCCATAGGTGTTGATTGTAGATCCAAATATTATTGTTTATTGTTACTGAGGTAAAATTCACATAACAGAAGTATACAACTATGTGCAATTTAGAACATTAGCAATGTTGTGTAGCCATCTCCTCTATCTACTTCCAACATGTTTCTGTCACCCAAAAGGATACTTTAAACCCATTATGTAGTCATTCCCCATTTTCCCCCTCCCTAGTACCTGGCAGCCAGGGGTTTTCTGGCTCTATAAACTTGCTTGTTTTGAATGATTCATTACAATACATGACCTTTTGTGTCTGAATACTATCACAGAACTTAATTTTTTGGAGGCTCATCTATGTTGTAGCATGTATTGGTACTTCATTCCACTTTATGGCTGAGTCATATTCCATTGTGTGTATATGCCACATTTTGTTTATCCATTTATTACTCAATTGACATTTGGGCTGTTTTGATCTTTTAACCCTTGTGAATAGTGCTTCAATGAACATTCATACACAAATTTTTGTTTGAATACCTGTTTTCCATTCTTAGGATAATGGCTGGATTATATAGAAATTCTATATGTGGCACTGTAAACTCAGCACTGAACTGATAACAACATAGTAATTATATGGTGAGTCCTGGTGTGGTACTATAGGATAAGCACTGGACTGCTAACCACGAGGTCAGTGGTTCAAACCCACCAGCTGCTCCTCGGAAACCCTATACAGGGTTGCTATGAGTTGGAACCAACTTGACAGACCTTAACAACAGCAGCAACACCAATAGTAGTTTTATGTTCTTCTTTTTGAGGAACCAAGAAACTGTTTTCCACAGTAGCTACACAATTTCATATTCCTACCAGCTATACTCTGTGTTCCAATTTCTCCAAATCCTCTGTGTTACTTATTATTTTTAGTGACATAACGTGGAATCTCATTACAGTTTTCATTTATGCCTAATGATCCTGAGTATCTTTTCATATGGTTGTTGATTAGTATATCTTCTTTGGAGAAATGTTTATCCAAGTCCTTTGCCCATTTTAAAATTGGTTTGTCTGCCCTTTTATTGTTGAATTGTAAGAGTTCTTTCTGTAGTATGGGTATTAGAATCTTATGAAGGATATGATTTGCAAATATTTTCTCCCATTAAGTAAATTTTCTTTTCACTTTCCAGTAGTGTCCTTTAATACATAAAAGTTTTTATTTTGGTGAAGCTCAATTTATTGGGTTTTTCTTTGTTATTTATTTATTATGTGTGTGTCTAGCATCATATATAAGAATTCATTAATAAAAGTTCAAGGCCATATAGATCTACCCTTATATATATAGTTTAAGTCTTTGATCTGTCTTGAGTTAATATTTATATATGATGTGAGATAGGGGTCAAATTACATTATTTTACATATGAATATTTAGTTTCCTAGCACCATCTGTTGAACAGATTATTACTTCTGCTGTTGGATGTTCTTGGCACCGTTATTGAAAATCAATTGCCCATGGATTTCTAAACTGTCAATTAACTACATTGATCTATATGTCATTGGGACTGTTAACCTACAAGGTCAGTGGTTTGAATCCACCTGTTGCTCCATGGGAGAAAGATGAGGCTGTCTCCTCCTATAAAAGATTTACAGCCTTGGAAACCCTATGCAGGATCACTATGAGTTGGAAATGACTTGACAGCACTTAACAACAACAACATATGTCATTTAACATTATGCCAGTACCACATGTCGACATGTTTTGATTATTATAACTTTGTATATATTTTGACATTGGTAAGGAGAGTCCTTCAACTCCACCCCACCCCCAACACACCCCTCTTCTTCTTTTTCTTTTTTCAAGATTGTCTTGGGCTATTTGGATTCTCTTGCCTTTCCACATAAATTTTAGAATCAGCTTTTCCACTTCTATGAGTATGTTGGAATTTTAATAGCAATAACATTGAGTCTGTAGCTTGCTTTGAATAATATTACCATCTTAACAATGTTTAAGTCTTGCTCTCCCTGAAAATAGAATGTCTTCCCATTTATTTAAGTCTTATTAATTTCTTTCAACAGTGTTTTTGGTTTTCAGTATACAAATCTTGTATTTTCTTGGCTAAATTTATCCCAAGTATTTTATTCTTTGTGATGCTATTGAAAATGGAATTTTTGTCTACTTTCATTTTCAGATACTTTATTGTTAGTGCATAGAAATACAACTGAATTTTGTGTGTTGATCATACACCTTGTAACTTTTCTGATCTCAAATATTGTATTTATTTTTACCTTTTATATTAGAATCATTTTAGGTCTATAGAAAAGTTGTAGAGACAGTACAGAGTTCCTATGTATTCATTCTTAATCCATCTTCCCCTATTGTAAGCATCTTTCAGAAGACCAACCAAACCCTCTGCCATTGAGCCAATTTTGACTCATAACAACCATATAGGATAGAGTAGAAATGCTCCACACCATTTCTGAGACTGTAAGTCTTAATGGAAGAGACTGCTTCTTCTTTTCCTGAGAAATGGCTGGTGGGTTTGAACCATGAATCTTTTTTTTTTTTTTAAGTTTTTATTGTAAATTGAGTGAACGTTTACATACAACAAATCATATACTTTATTTCATTGCAATGATTATAATCCCTTCCATGTAACATCAATCAATAGTATTTCTCTCTGATCTCATATATTGTTGTTGTTGTTGTGTTTAAGTGCCATTGAGTTGGTTCTGACTTATAGCAAACCCTGTGTACCGTTTCCAAGGAGTGGCTGATGAGTTTGAACCACTGACCTCATGGTTCAAACCAACTTTGCAGTCCAGTGCTTTATCCCACAGCACCACACCAGGACTCCAATCTCATATTAGCTCTTTTATTTCTTTTTTTTCCTAATTACTCTGGCTAGATCTTTCAGTACAATGTTGAATGTTGTTGTTGTTGTGTTCCATTGAGTCAGTTACAACTCATAGTGGCTAGTGGGCTTGAATTGCTAACCTTCCAGTTAGCAGTCCAGGGCTTATCCTACATTGCCATACAATGTTAAGAAGAAATATTAGAATCTGGTATTCTTTTATTATTTCTGATTTAAAGGAGAAACTTTTAGTCTTCCACCCTTGAGTCTAATGTTAATTGTGGACATTTATTTTAGAAGCTTTTTATGTTCTAATTTTGGAATAATGGAGTGAAACTGTACTACTTAGAAACCTAGGTCATTGTCTGAAAGTCCACTCTTCCTCAGTCACTATTCATGCTTTGAGCATTGATCTTGAAATATCCTTTAAAAATTATTTTATTAAAAATATGACCTGGTATAAACTGTCCATATTACTAAAACCGGTCATGGTGTTTTATAAATATTTTATCTGTGGCAGCTCAGATGAAACAATGGGGGGTGTAATGTGCCATTAATCTTGGACCTCAGTAGTTTGAACTGAACCATCTTTGAAACTGTGGTGATTCTAATGTGTGCTTTCAAATTACAGATTGGCTTTGTACTGTATCCCCTCAATGGAGGTCCTGCATGGGAAGCAATGGACCACGACAACATTATGTTTCTTACTATATGCTTTTGCTGGCATTATGCGATCAGCCTTATCATCATGGGATTGAATTATGCCTTGGTCACCTGGTAAGTGTTGAAACTAAACTTTAAGTGGAGATTTAATTACTTAGTATCCCAGGTAACCATTTAGTATAAATTTTTGAGAATAATTTCTGCAAACACAAAAATTCCCAATAAAAAGAATAAATGGTTGATTAATGTTGGAATTTCTCAAAAGTGCTTTTAGCTTGTGTGGATCCTTTCAGTACACTCTTCTGTGCCTCCACGTCTTTGCACTGCTTTTCCTCTTCCTCAGTGATTTCCCTCTAGATCTTCATTAATTTATCCACTGGCTCATGTATACACATAATCAACTTTCAAAACTTGATGTCATTTTTGACCAACTTGTATGTCTCCTGTTAAACTTTGAATACTTGATTGATTTGACATTTACTTTACTAGCTCTAAAAGTAATAGTCTATTGATACATATTTTTACAGTGTTTCATAAGGGCACCAGGAACAATCTAACAACCCATATTTCTAGCTTTGATATCTATTATTTGTGTAACATTGGGCAAATTACTTAGCCACAGAAATTTCCGCTTTATCATTTGCAAAATGGGGGAAATAATAGTGACCAAATAAGATCATATATTTCAACTGACTAGGAAATAATAAGCGTTCAATAAATGCTTTTGTTAATATTATTGTTCTTTTCCTGTTTGTCTCCTCTTTATGCATCAAATCGTGAATGAGGTATAGATTCAGCACATGAGGCATTCTTAGCCCTATTGGGAGGAACAGACAATAATAATACAGTGCAATGCTTGGAAATAGTAGAATCATGCATTGTTCAAACTCAGAAGAGGCATCCCCACAATTGAAAATTCAGTTTCAGCTTGAGGGATATGCAGGAATGGAAAGGGATGAGTACAATTCCTCTTTCTAAAGTAGTTAATGGAGTTCTGGAGTGGAACTGTAGAGTAAGCACTGGACTGCAAGATTAGTTTGAACCATAAAGTTGGTGGTTCAAGCCCACCAACTGCTCCTTGGAAATCCTATACAGGGCTGCTATGAGCCAGAACTGACTTGACAGTACTTAACAACAGCAACAACAAGGTAGTTAATACCAAACCCCAATTGACTTGGTTGATACCAATTACCAGGCACATTGGCATCTAGTCTCGCATACTTAAGCACCGTTGGAAATGTTCTATATCTGCAGTGTTCAATATGATATCCTTTAGGTCTCTGTGGCTATCGAGTACTTGAATTGTGGATTGCTGTTGTTGTTCTTAAGTGCTATTGAGTCAGTTCCAACTCATAGTGACCCTGCACAGGGTTTCCAATGAGCAGCTGATGAGTTTGAACTGCCAACCTTGCTTTTCAAACCCACCTTGTAGTCCAGTGCATTAACCTACAGAGCCATACTAGGACTCCAGAAATGTGGGTCATGCCACATTAATTTTAATGAATTTAAATAGCCACATGTGGTAATCATATTATACAGTACACACCTAGCAGGTTCTCCAGATTTCTAAAAGGCAGTAAGGGAAGAGGTTTCAGCTTCTGTGGAACTAGTTTTCCATTCTGCTGCTGAAGCAGTTTTGGTGCTGAGTCTCTGAGTGCTGGGTCTGTAACTCCCAAGATGTCTCTTTTAGGTTCCCAAGGTGGCTAGCCTACTTTGATTATGTGATTGCTTCTTCTAGACATTTAAGTAGCATTGTTGTTGTTGGTTGGTGATGTGCCGTGGAATTGGTTCCAACTCATAGTGACCCTGTACAGGGTTTCTGAAGCTGTAAATCTTTACGGGATCAGAAAGCCTCATCTTTCTCCCATGGAAGTGCTGGTAGTTTCGAACTAGCTGACCTTGAGGTTAGCAGCCCAACTCATAACCACTACATTAGTTGCTGAGAAAATCTACCTTTTCATTGATTTGATTTCTGTCAGTCCTGTTTCATGCCTTGGAAGCATGTGCAATGAGCTATTGTGGAGTGAAACAGGCTGATACCTGGGCCTCAGCTTCTGAGGAGCTGGGTAGCCTCCAGGAATAAAACCAGCATTCTGGGAGCAGTTCTACTTCATGTCATCTCCCCTGTCTCTCCCTGTTTCAAAAATCTTCTCCTCTTACACTTTTCAACCACCACCTCGCTCCACTCCTGCCCTATATCACATGCCTTATTCTAAACTTTTGACTGTGAGGATCTCTGTCGGTCATGCCCAAGTTAAATGCTCATCTCTTCTTCAAAACCCTCTCCCCTGATGACTTTTAAAGTATTTTATTTAATCTTCTTATAGCTTTAAACAACAGTGACCGACCTTGTGATGTTTACTGTCAGTTCGTGTGTATTAGTCTTGAGGAGAGGAAATGGTTGATACTTTGGTTATTGCTGAGTGCAGGTTTCATTAGTTTATAAGTTACGTTTTATTTATTTTTTAGTTTTGCTCTCACAGAGATCTTGAAGAGATAAGATCAAAAGGTCAATGAGCTGATATATCTTAACATAAACATAAGCAAGAACTTAAAAAAATATGCCTTTCAGTAAGACTGAGGAAGAGTGGACTTTCAGACAAGTAAGGTCACATGGCAGGCTACCTCAGTGCTGAAATCATAGTATGTCTTGAAAACCGGTTTATCAGGCATTGACTGGGGAGTGGTTTGTAAGTCAGCTAGTTAAATGGATGGTCAGAACATTATATCAGAATTTGTTTGGCAGAGCATAGAAATCACCATGGGTGTGAAACTGGGTTCTGGAATTAGTGCCCTCCCTCTCTCCCAAATCTCTGACAAATGAAGCTATGCTTTCCACCTTTCCAGAGCAATGGTTCAAAGATTTCCTTATCCACTCTTCTGCCTGTGTTCATGATTATGACAGCTCATAGGCAAGTCTGGGAACCTTATGACATGTTTTATGGTGTTACAATTTCAAAACCACTGCTGCACATCACTTTCAAAAGCCTTCTCTATGTCCGTCCTCAGATTGCTTTTCTAAGTAATGATTCATGCCAGCTATTCTGAATAACAAAACAGAGATGCTCAAATTTCAGTCATATGCTACTTGCCGTACATACAACCAGAATCTCAGCTCTACTCTTTCTTATATTGAGAATAGATGGGACTAGGAAGAAAAACACACTCTGATCCTTGTTCTCTGGACTTGAGTCATTCTAATAACTAGCAATTATTTGCTCTTTCTCTCGATTACCTCATGCCTCCATCTGTCCCTGGCACCATTTCTGCATGTGTAAGTACCTACAACTACTAATAGAGTTGAGTTAAGGTGTCCTTATATCAATAGAGTTGAGAGTGTCCCAGCTTGGTGGTTCATAGCAGCAGCAGGTATGTCCCAGAAAGGGGCAATGGGAAATAGTAGCAATCACGAGGGTCTGTTGGCAATTAATTTGCAATAAACAACTAGGTCTTTGTTTTATTTTCCTCAAGAGTCATCAGGAAAAAAAAAAGTGAAGTAATTGATTAAATCATCTATTTCATTCAAGCTGTGCAGGGTTTAAAAAAAACTGTGAGGGTTTAAAAAAAAAAAAATGATGCAAGGCTGTCCTAGCCTTAATTTAAGCCTGTTAACCTATCTGTAAGGAGCACTGGTGTGGCGCTATGGGTTAATGCGCTGGACTGCAGGGTTAGTTTGAACTGCAAGGTTGGCGGTTCAGGCTTACCAGCTGCTCCTCGGAAACCCTACAAAGGGCCGCTATGGGTAGGAACTGACTCAATGGCACTTAACAATAGCAACCTATATGCTGGAATATTTGTTTGAAGAGTTGAAGACGTTGGAAGCAGTATCAATATTTAATTAGTAATCAAGGTAAATGATTTTGAGGGGTTTGCTTTGGCCCTTGATGAGTCAACAGTTTTTACCAATCCTACTCAGTTGTTGTTTATTTGAAGAGTCAATGGTGAGTTTAATATGACTGCGGATTAGCCTCTATGACTAGGTGAGTGATGTGAAGTCCTAGAAGATGGCTTCAATGGCCACTGATTCACCAAATATGTGTTAAGCCGCTTCTCAGTTCAAGGGATTGCTTTTTACTTTAGTAATTAGGGTAGTAAGTAAGACGAATCTCCTGCTTTTATGAAGTTTATATTCTAGTACGATCCAGAGCAAGTCAAGGGATAGGGCAGGTTTTCATTGTAAGAGGTTGGAAGGAAGAGAAGAAAGGACAAGATACATGTAGGCTGGTGAGGTTTGTTTTTTAAATGAGGGGGATAAAAACCTCTTCATTTTAATGATGTGTTTATTGAGCTTGTTTATGTTTCCCTATAGGTCGCTGGACATTAACCATATTGTATTTACCTGATTACAGTACAGTATCTTTATCAATAATCATGCTCAGGAAAAGTTTTGCATGTAGTACTTATTCCATGTTCTTTTTCTCACTGAGGGAAGTAAAGCACACTTAACTTCAGCCACTAAAACCCTTCACACTTTCCAATGTCAAAAGTCAATAATCACTGCTTCCCTCAAACCTATGGAATTTCTTAAATTATGAAAACAGTCTCAAGGGTAGAGAGCACTGTTGTTGTTAAGCACCGTGGAGTCCGTTCTGACTCATAGTGACCCTGCACGGGGTTTCCGAGGCTGCAAATCTTTACGGGAGCAGAAAGCTTCCTCTTTCTCTCACGGAACAGCTGGTAGTTGTTAATTCATTATGAACAAGACCATTACATGTAATTGAACAGCCTGTGACCTGCACAAAGGTGCCCCAAGAAGAGATAAGAAGGGGCTGAAATTCAGCCCAGTTTCCACATAATACTTGACATGAACTCTCAGTCATGGAGAGAAAAAAGATTCCTTTGTGTACTTCCTTTCCAGGAGAGGGCTCCTTTTTTGCAATACGCAACTAAGTGTGGGCTTGATGGAGAAAATCATGTGAGTTGAGGTTCACTTGGACTTGCTAGAGCCCAGAGATTCTGGTTTGTTTTAGAAATGGTGAAAACTTTTTGCCGTTGGGTGGATTCTGACTCATGGAGATCTCGTGTGTTAGAGAACAGAACCGAGATTCATATGATTTTCTTAGCTGTAATCTTTTTCTGGTTTTTAACTATGAATTGTAAATTGAGTTAAGACTTACAGAGAAGACCATAAGATTTACATTCAACAAACCATACACATTTTGCTTCATCTAATTGGTATGGCACTGTAGGATAACTACAAGGTCAGCAGTGCAAGCAGCTGCTCCTTGGAAACCCTGTACAGGGTCTCTGTGCCTCAGAACTGACTTGATGGCATTTAACAAGAACAACAATTGACCACAATTTCCTCATTGTAATGCCACTTATCCCACTTCCTCCCTATGCTTCCTATTTCCATTCCTTCTTGTTTCCTAACCCTTCCATACTTTGTGGGTAAATGCTGCCCTTTTAATCTCAACTAGTTAATTATTACAAAGTGTGCTTAGCTCACTAGTGTTATTGTTTTCCTCATAGACCTATTATTTGACTGCAAATTGACTCATGGGAATGAGCTTAGTTCCAGACTTGAATGTTGACTGAGGTTCATAGTCTCAGAGGTTCCAATTTAGCAGTAATCTTTATGAATGAAAGTAGATTGCCACACCTTTTTCCCCACATACTGTTGGGCTAATTTGTCTAAATTAGCTAAATTCTAAAGTTAGAATTTAAGCACAGTTAGTATTCAAGTGCACTGATGGACCTCTAGAAATGATGCAAGTTATAAAGCTGCCTAATTAAACAATCAATCAGTTAATACGTTTGAAAGCTATAGCATATCAGTCTATCTACACCCTGTTTTAGTCCACACAGTCTTTCTTTCACATAGTTCCAAAGTCAAATAAAAGTGGTTTTCCTTGTTAGGTTATCTACTCCATCTGCACAGAAAAACTGGAGTTTTTTGTATTGTTGATGCATGTTGCTCTCTACTTTTTATTTTAAACAACTTCCAACATGAGATGCTCTCTCATTCTTCTCAGGTTGGTTAAATCTAAACTTAAGAGGTTCTGCTCTTCGGAAATTGGACTCCTGAAAAATGCTGAACGAGAACAGGAATCGGAAGAAGAGATGTGATTTTGATGAGCATTCAGTCTTTCTAGATAATCCTCTTGTTTGTGCATTATTTTTGTCCGTGGTTTTGCTTCTTGACCTTTTGCTTGTGAATTCTTGACCTTTAGTGTGCTGTTTGTATTTTAAATTTTGGTAATGTATTTGCATTTAAATGTTTTATTTTTAGGTTTAAAAATAACTGGCGATTAGTTCCTTTTGCAAGTCAGTCATGGTATTCAGGGCCTGGAATGACTCCTCAGTTCACCTCAAGTTTGATGCCCACACTATGAAAAATATTTGTTTTATTTGGCTTTTAGATATACTTAAGGTTCCTGAGCTTGCTATCACCTGTAACTTGTTTAAAATGGAATTATATTTGTTTATCTTGTTGCTGCAATGAGAACTCAATAAATGTATGCACCTTAGTTCAGTTACTTAAGATCTTTGTTTTTCTTTTTTATTCAACTGCACCCACCTATACAACAAGAAGCAGCAGCTTCGTGGCACTGAAATTCTTCTTGTGAGACACGTCTCTCTAAAACAATTGAGTTCTGCCCCAGGAACATAGGCCAGAAAGTAGGCCTGACCTGTGGCATCTATGAGAAAATATAGCCAATATCAAGATGAATGGGATCTTCAGAACAAATGAAAAATGAAAGAGTGAGGAGAGTTGTAATAGAAAGAGTGGAAAGTCACTACACAACATAGTATGGTCACCATGTCATTCCCTCTGCTGAAGTAGCTGAGGGGTGAAAGCAATAACAAAAAGCCTCTTATGGAAGATCTTGACTGTGGGCTAAATTGTCCCCAGTGGAGAGTCAGGAAGCCTAGTTTAATTCTAATTTGCTCTGCTGCTAACCATCCCTGAGTGCGCCAGCCATTACCATGTAACCAGTTGCTTTGGAGTAGACTCAGATGTGTGTCAGAATAGAACACCACAGAATTTTCGACGGCTGATATTTCAGAGGCCTTTCTTCTCACATGCCTGTTTGTTGTTATCATTGTTAGGTGCCCTTGAGTCATTTCCAATTCATAGCAAGTTTATGCACAACAGAACGAAACAACGAAACACTCTCTAGTCCTGTGCGAACCACACAATCATTGTTAAGCTTGAACCCATTGCTGCTACCACTGGGCCAATCCATATCATTGGGAGTCTTCCTCTTTTTTGCTGACCCTCCACTTTGCCAAGCAGGATGTCCTTCTCTTGGGACTGGTCCTCCTGATAATATGTCTGAAGTATGAGAGACAAAGTCTGGCCATCCTGGCTGCTAAGGAGCATTCTAGTTGTACTTCTTCCAACACAGATTTGTTTGTTCTTCTGGCCATCCATGCTGCTTTGAATATTTTTCTCCAATACCATAACTCAAATGCATTAATTCTTCCATGGTCTTCCTTATTCATTGTCCGACTTTCATAAGCATATGCAGTAATAGAAAATCCCATGTCTTCGGTCAGGTGCACCTATGTCTTCAAACAGACATATTTGCTCTTCTACACTTTAAAGGGGTCTTGTTAGCAGATTTGTATAATGATAAATCGTTTGATTTCTTGACTGCTGCTTCCATGAGTGTTGATGTTGGATCCAAGAAAAACGAAGTATTTAATAATTTCAGTCTTTTCTCCATTTATCATAATGTTATTTCTTGGTCCTATGGTGAGGAGTTCTGTTTTCTTTACTTTGAGGTTCAACCTATACCGAAGGTTGTGTTCTTTGATCTTCATCAGTAAGAATTTTAAGTCCTCTTTGCTTTCAGTAAGCAAGATCGTGTCATCTGCACATGCCTCATTCTTCATCATATGATCCATCTTCTTGATTATTTGTTCAGCATACAGATTGAATAAGTATGGTGAAAGAATACAACTTTGGCATACACTATTCCTGATTTTAAACTATTCAGTGTTCCCTTGTTCTGTTTGAACAATTGTCTCTTGGTCTACGTATAGGTTCCTCATGAGCACAGTTAAGTGTTCCAGAATACTCATTCTCTGCAATCTTGTCATGATCCACTCAGTTGAAAGCCTTTGCATAGTCAATGAAGCACAGGAAAACATCTTTCTGGTATTCTCTACTTTCAGCTAAGATCTATCTGACATCAGCAATATTATCCCTCATTCCACATTCTGTTCTGAACCTGAATTGAACTTCATTAGCCCAAAGTATTGTCTTCAGTGGTAACCACTACTACTACCATTTATCACTAGTGATACTGAAGTGACGTTGTCTAGGTGACCTGCATGTGGTCACAACCCAATGTTGTCATTCATTCCACATTCTTGTCTGAATCCAACTTGAACCTCTGGCAGCTCTCTGTTAATGTACTGTTGCAGCTGTTTTTGAATTATCTTCAACAAAATTTTACTTGCATGTGATATCAATGATATTGTCTGATAATTTCCACATTCCATTGGGCCACCTCTCTTGGAATGGACATAAATATGGATATTTTTCAATCAATTGGCTAGGTAGCTGTCTTCCTAATTTCTTGGCATAGATGAATGAGTGTCTCCATTGCCATATCAGTTTGTTGAAAGCTTTCTATTTGTATTCCATCAATTCCTGGAGTCTTTTATTTCTGTGTCAATGTCTTCAGAGTGGCTTGGACTTGTTCCTTCCATACTGTTGGCTCTTGATCATATACTGTCTCTTGAAATGTTGAATATTGACCATTTCTTTTTGGTACAGTGACTCTATCTACTCCTTCTATCTTCTTTTGGTAATTTCTGCATCACTCAGTATGTGTCCCATAGAATTCTTGAATATTGCAAGTTGAGGCTTGAATTTTTTCTTAATTTTTTTCAGCTTGAGAAATGCTGAGCATGTTCTTTCCTTTTGATTTTCTAATTCCAGATCTTTGCACATTTCATTATAATATTTGACTTTGTCTTCTTTGCCTTTTGACATTTTCTGCTCAGCTCTTTTACTTCCCCATGTCTTCCATTTGCTTTAGTATTTCTACACTGGAGCAAGTTTCAGAGTCTCTTCTGATATTCATTTTGGCCTTTTCCTTCTTTCTACTCCTCTTAATGACCTTTTGCTTTCTTCCTTTACGATGTTCTTGATGTCATCCCACAACTCTTTTGGTCTTTGGTCATTAGTGTCGAATGCATCAAATCTGTTCTTAAGGTGATATTTAAATTCAGATAGGATATGTTGAAGGTCATATTTTGACTCTCATGAACCTGTCCCAGTTTTCATCTTCAGCCTGAACTTGCATATGAGCAATTGATGTTCTGTTTCACAGTCTGCCCTGACCTTGTTTTGGCTGACGTTATGAAGCTTTTCCATCATCTCTTTCCACAGGTTTAATCAATTTGATTTTTGTGTATTCTATCTGGTGAAGTCCATGTGTATGGTCATCTTTTATGTTGTTTAAAAAAGGAATTTGAATGAAAAAGTTATTGGTCTTGCAAAATTCTATCATGCAAAAGGACAAATAACCCAGTTAAAAAATGGGCACAGGACATGAACAGACGCTTCACCAAGGAGGAGATCCAAGCAGCCAACAAACATATGAAGAAATGTTCATGATCACTAGCCATTGTTGTTGTTGTTAAGTGTTGTTGAGTCAGTACCAACCTATAGCAACCCTGTATAGGGTTTCCAAGGAGCAGCTGGTGAGCTTGAACCACCGACCTTGCAGTTCAAATGGCTCCGCAGTCTGGTGCATAACCCACAGTGCCACACCAGGACTCTAGCCATTAGAGAGATGCAAATCAAAACAACAATGAAATATCATCTCACACCAGCAATAATAGCAAAGATAAAAAAAAATAGAGGACAATAAATGTTGGTGAGGATGTGGAGAGACTGGGACCCTCCTACATTGCTGGTGGGATAGCAAAATGGCCCAAACACTCTGAAAAACTATATGGTGCTTCCTCAGAAGGTTGGAAATAGAGATATCTTATGATCCAGCAATTCCTCTACTTGGTATTTGCCCACAAGAAATACAAGCCATAACACAAGTAGATATATGCACACCAATGTTCATAGCAGCATTATTTACAATAGCAAAAAGATAGACAGCCTAAGTGTCCATCAATTGAAGAATGGATAAACAAACTTTGGTACATACACATAATGGAATATTATGCTACCCTGAAGAATAACAAGGAAGCTGCAAGCCACCGCATAACATGGATGAACCTTGAGGACATTATGTTGAGTGAAATTAGTCAGTCACAAAAAGAGAAATATGGCATAGGACCATTATTGTAAAAGATTAGGAAAAAGCACCCATACTAAAAGGGGGGAAATTTTTTTGTTTTTGTTGGTTACTGGGATGTATGGAGTTCTGGTGTGGCACTGTGGGTTAATACCAGACTGCAAAGCTGTTTGAACTGCAAGGTTGGTGGTTCAAGCTCATCAGCTGCTCCTTGGAAACCCTATACAGGGTCGCTATGGGTTGGAACTGACTCAACGACACTTAACAACAATTGGGGTGTATAGGGTGAGGTGAGGGGAGGGAGGGGAAGGTGGAGTACTGGGTAGGGAATAGACAGGATAATTTGAGTGATGGGGGAGGGGGACACATACTAAAGGGGAGGGGAAAGGAAAAACCAGGCAGATGGGAGAATAGCTAGGCAGGTTTACATGGGCTATAAAAGACAGAGGTAAATAATGATGTAAGCACAACCATGGAACAACAGGGCTTGGGGATACAAAGATTGAGGCATGATTTGAATGGGTAAAAGTGGGGAAATGATGCTAAGATGGTTGCCTGTCTTTTGAATCTTGGTTTCCCTTATCTCCTATTGTAAAATAAACACTTGAAGGGGGAGAGAGAGGAATAACCAGAAACATCTCCATAGAAAGCTTATAAGTCCGTCTTCAGCCTGTAACTGATTGGAATACCTAAAATGGTGCTAGAACTTGCCCAGTAAAGGAGGCTCCCTGCAGAGCCTTTGCATTGCACAAGACCATAGGTGGAATCCTGATCCCCATCTAGGATCTCTGGAGGTGGGAAATTTCCCCTTGAAAGGACAAGCAGACCTACCTGGAACAGCTAGAAGAAGAGAAG